CCTGTCTCCACAGCCCTGAGGTGAAAAGCTTTTGAGACTCACCACTTCCTGAGAGCTAGGGAAGTTTTCCAGCTGGGGTGCAAAGACTATCACCAGGATTGGCCCAGACTATTTGCTGAAATAAAATTACAATAAAAATATCCTAAGTTTATTTAACTATCTTAACTTTCCCCAACATTTTTCCTCTGTCATTATTCTTAAACACTATGACGCTTCTAAACCAAATATTCTCTCCACTTTCAGAGCAGAACCCAGTCGTGAAAAATCAGACATTTTATTCAAGACAATCTACTTATTGACTGAGAAAGAATTAGCACCCTATCAGCTGATTCTCAGTCCAGAAAAAGATTCAATAAGTATTTTTCATCTGGGAAGAGACAGCTGCATTTAGTTATTGGTATAGAAATAGATCAACATCACCTTTGCCAAACTGTCCATCCAGTAGCTTCCAAATTCCATTGCTGTTATTCACTGGAGGTGACTAGAGAAAAGTGAATGCTAGATCAGCTGTACCTCCTCTTCCTGATAGCCTTCTTACCAAATGGTGTGAGATCCTTGGGTACGCTGAAAAAGAAGCAATTCCCAAGTCTCAGAGGCTAAAATAATAAAGGCTTTGGAGGTCCATTTAGAGGGTGCTGAGATTTCTGACCTTGTCTTTGTTGTCCTCACTCTGTGATCCAGAGTAACAGACAGCAGTTAAATACAACATTGCCCATGACCACAGCAGAAGACAAAGGGAAAGAGTCCTAGAAGATTTTGTAGCAGCAATTAAAAACCCACTCAAGAAGTGGCTCTCCCAACTTCTTAACAATAAACATGAAAAGGTCAAAAATGCAATGTGCCATGGAAGGTGAAGAGCCAGAAGTATTTAGTACAAAGCATAAATGACTATCTCTATATTTCATCATGAAAGCAAGTCTGAGGACAATTTTCCAAGAAGGCAAATGTTTATTAGCAAGCAGACTCAAAATTTATCATGTGGTCATTTATTCATTTTTATTTATTGGTTTATTGTAATCTAGTCAGTCCTAGAATCAGGACAAGAGACATAGTACTACATGAAGAAAGGAGAACATGCTGATTTCAAAGGCATTAGCCTGCTAAGCTGGGTAGCTTATCTGTGTGGTATGACCCAAATAATTTTTGTAGTAGGACCAGTGACATATTTTGAACACCCCTCATTTTATGTCTAAAAAGTTATTTTTAACAAATGATATGCTAACAAAACTTTTGTAGTAGATTTCAATAAGGATTTCTGAAAAAATGAATAGCCACCTCTGGCACTGGATTTCTATTTAGAGCAGTCCAAATGCAGACTAATTGCTCTTGGCTGCTAAACAAGTGACCTTAAACCTCAGTGGCATTGGACAATAAACTTGTATTTCTCATGCATCTATAGAGTACAGTGCATCTTAGCTGAGTTTCTCATCTACATGTGGTTTGGCTCTCCTGCACATGTCTTTCCTCTCTCTCCCAGGAATAACAGGCTGCCAGGAATGTCCTTTTCTGGCTATGACAGAAGCATAGTAACTCAATTACAGACATGCGAGTTCTCTTGAAGCCTAGGCGCAGAACGGGAGCACTATTCCTTCAGCTTCCTTTATTGGGCAGAAGTAAATTACCTTGCCAAGCCCAGATAGAGAAGTTCTCTCTAATCATGGGTGGAGGTTATTATAATGTTACATAGCCAAGCCGTGGATATGAGAAGTACAGAATAATTATGATCATTACTGCAATCTAATACATGCCTCTAAAGAATAGATAAAAGTTAAGTCATGAACTCATACATCACATTGCTTTTGATACTAAGTAGTTTTAAGTTTCAAAATTCCCATTGCCTATAGTGAATTTTGGTATGAGCAGAAGCCCACCAACTGACTTCCAGCCAAAGTCTCTGACAATTGCTGCTTGAGTAGAAAATCAGTGTTCTCTGATGTCTCTAACATGCACTGAGCAGAATAAAGGAAAGAAATTAGACCATGCTTCCAGCAACTTAAAGCAGAAAAAGGATTCAAGATAAAGAGCTTAATTCTGTAGCTATTTTGAATCAAGATCAAACAAAGTCCATTCTCAGAACATGGAAAATAGTGATATACATTTTGTCCCCTTCATGTATAAAGCTATACAGATGACTCACATTTCTTTGACCATACACCTGCAGTTCTTACTTTGCAGAGACTAGGTTAATCGAAAAAAAGATTATTTCCCACTGAGATTGTAAAAGTCAGTGAGCTGGAATGTTGTTATAAAGTAAGTAGATTGCAGCAAGAATAAAAAGATTCTAAAGAGAGTTTTAGCTTTGCTTGAGATCTGGTCAAACGGTCACCATAAAAGTGTGTTGGTAGAGGTATGGTGAACGGCAAGGTGCTAAGTTCCCCTGAGTAGAGAGTCTCAGAATAATGTAGAATAACACATATGTTTATCTTGGTAACTGTAAGATACATCATCATTTTCTCTGAATGTTATTAAGTAACTTGAAAGTTTATTGGCAGCAGATAAAAGCTGGTATCAGGACTGAGTCCATGTTGGTTTCTGCCATGCAAAGGAGATCTAACAGTGATTTTTGTACAAGAAGCATATGCCCTCTTAATTACACAAAGCATTAAGTTACTTACAGAAGAATTGTGAACCAGATGGCCCATTAGAACCAGAAGTCAGAAGGTAATAGAAACTAGGATTTCTGTGCTTTCTAACTACACAGAGACACTGTGCAATGGGGGATTCTTTTTATAATCTGGGAACCAGTGCAGAATCTCATCTTTTCATTTGGTTCATTCAGAAGCATTATTCTAAGAAAGGCTGGGGGAGTGCAGCACCCACTTTGATCATTTTTACCTAATTTATCGTATCTCTGAACAGCACTTACTAGACAGTATTATGATATCACTATTTGTTTATTCACAGAAATCTGGGCTCTTGCAGGTCAAGGACTTTATTTTATACAGCTGGGTTTATCTACTCCTCATGTTAGCCACCTCTCACTTGAGGCTTAGTTGAACGTTCCAATATCTCTAAGACTAGATAAAGTTTAACCCAAAGCAAACACTATATTCCCATAGGAAAATCTGACATTGCATAAAAGAAAAATCTTGACGAATACTATTTGCCTGTTATATATACTGGATCCTAATCATAAAAAAATACTTGAATGATCAAAAAGTGTGTGCTTTTTTAGAGGATAAAAATAAACCAGGAACTTTGCTTTGAAATTAATATCTGTACCAGGGTTAGTTTTTAAGACCTTTTCAAAACGATTTAAAAGTAATTTTAATTGCTAAATCATGAGAAATCTATATTTACTATACATTCTCAAGTGCATTGTGTTGAAACAAGTTTTGTTCTAGATTTTACAATATATATTTAGTACAGTCCGAAGCTGCAGCTATAAGAAAGAACTGACTCTTGATTTTGGTCCTGAGCTTGGTGGTAGAGAGGCAAAAATGGTCAAGGTGGCAGCTTTCTATTTTGCTTTGGAAAGAATGTCAGGATAAGAGATAAGGGAGAATTTTAAACCTTGTTCCACATCACATAAAAGACTTTTTCTTCATTCTTGTATTAAATTCAAGGAGATATAAAAAAGGCCCTCCTGTGCCTTTATCTTATATATTAGGCTTCTTGGAAAAATCAAATTTTTTCTAGTTCTGAAACATCAGAATGTCATTTTTAAACAAAGGAGAAGATTTAAATTGATACCACTAATTCTTTCAGCAAATAAAGAAGAAAGTCATTGAAAATGATAATTTTATAAAGCTCTGAGATTAAGTAGACTTTTTTTTTTTTTTTTTTTTTTTTTTTTTTTTTTTTTTTTTTTTTTTTTTTTTTTTTTTTTNTTTTTTTTGAGGCAGAGTCTTGCTCTGTCGCTAGCCACCAGGCTGGAGTGCAGTGGCACAATCTCGGCTCACTGCAATCTCTGCCTCCCGGGTTCAAGCAATTTGTCTGCCTTAGCCTCCCAAGCAGCTGGGACTACAGGCGCACGCCACCATGCCCAGTTAATTTTTGTATTTTTTAGTAGAGACTGGGTTTCACCATGTTGGCCCAGATGGTCTTGATCTCTTGACCTCTTGATCCACCCACCTCGGCCTCCCAAAGTGCTAGGATTACAGGCGTGAGCCACCGCGCCCAGGCTAAGTAGACTTCTTAACATCAAAAATGTCATGGACCATCTCATGTAATAATAATAATAATAATAATTTTAATATGTATTAAATGTGAAAATGGATGACGAAAAAGTATATTATAAAATAAAATGCTCTTTGAAATAAGTGTTTAATGTATTAACCATCATATCATAAAATATGTGTTTACACATTTATAAAAATTGTGTGTGCGTGTGTATGTATGCTATGTAGTATATATACAAGCAGACAGCTTTTAGTATGTATATACTTTTGGAGAATACTTGTAACAATTTTACTATCTGTCCCCTCTCACTTTGTGGATTACATTTTATTGTCCGTTGCCAAATGTGACCATCCTTAGTGACTGCATTTCACTGGGTTTGGGGTTATGAAAAGACTGTCTTCCTGAAATGAATTCTCAGATTCACTGAGACCATAACCACTTCATGGAAGCCCAGGGATCTCCAGGTGCACCTGTTTGTGTCTCATTTATACACATATAAAGGAGAATGACAATTTCAAAGGCAGTGTGGATCCACGGTGACTTTACAGGCATGTGTGATTTCACAGTGACTTTTTTTTTTTTGAAGTTCATCATCTTTAGACTTAAGGAATTAACAAGGGTCAGGGAGATTATGCCAGGCTGAGGGTTTCTTGGCTTCTGGAGACAGGCCCAGCTAAAGCAAACAGGAAAACAGGGAAACAGGAAGGGGGCAGCTGGAAGGTTTGGTCTTGAACTTGGGGAGTGGAAAAGTGATGATCCCCATGACAGGAGCAGCAGGAAGAATATGCATCTGAGGATCTGGGGAAGGCCTGGGCCACCCAGAGGGGAAGCCCTGCCCTGGGGCTTGTCGCTGGGAGGGAAGGGAAACAAGCCCCTTCCCTCAGTGCTGAGGAAAAGAGGCTTGGCTCGGTCTCCTCCTGCCCTCTCTCCATCCGTGGAGAAACGGGGTCCTTGCCTCCTTGCCCCTTTCAGCCGCCCAGAAGCCGGTCCTGGCTGAGCCTCTGGAAAAACCTTTAGCCGAACTCGTAGGTGCTGATCATGATGGCACAAGAGGTGGCAGCCTTGATGATCAGAGGAAGGAAGACTGCAAAGCATCCCCTGGTGCCCAGCTCGCCCGGATCCTCCGCAGCAGCAGCCAGGTGGAGTCCACATGCAGGGATGTCACTCTCAGAGCCTCCATCGCTCTCAATGCGACCTGGCTTTGGGTCTTCACCAAGTCAAAGGGTAGAGTCAGCACAGCAGCTACCATCCCTGAAATGCCACCAGCCACAAATCTCATGTCCACAGAAGTCTGGTCCTTTGGCCTGAGCCCATTCAGCCAGCTCTTCACCAGCTCATAGTTGAACCAGTACAGGGCTGAAAAGGGCACATCTTGAAGGGCAGTGGGGTCCCAGCCCAGCCGCAGAGAGCACCAGCCACCCTGAGCCACTGCAGTTCGAACACAGTCACCCGGCTCCTGGTATGACATGTGCTGAGCCTGCAGCTTTGTCCTCATGAGCTCCAGGGGGCTGTCCCAGGCAGGCCAGTGTGCCAGCCACCATGGGTGCATAGAGGTCAGAGGTCAGGGCTCGACCACACAGGAAGGCCTTGATTTGGTGGTAAGCAGTGAAGCAGATGGTGGTAACTGGCACAGTCATCACCAGGGTGATGGGGAGGCTTCTCCAGAAGGTCCTGTTGCCCTCGTGCCTCCGGATCTTCACAAAGGTGTCCATGGTGCCAGTGAAGCAGGCTGGATCTTGAAACCAGGTGGGACAGTGGGCACCATTTGGACACAGGTACAGGGGCTCCAGGACATCATTGTAGTACAGGAGGCATTTCCCTGTGGATTGGAGACAGGAGGGCAATTTGGTATAGGAGAGGTTCCACAGTCTGGAGAAAGGCTTAGATAAATGAGGAAAGATAGTGAAGAGCTGCAGAGGAGTGCATGCGGAAAGGGCTTTCTCAAATATAAATAAATAAACACAGTGTTTAGTATTAGCATTCTTTAGAATGAACAATTATGAGAAAAATGTCTTTGAAATTTAAGTAATTAGAAGAAAATAACAAAACCAAATAAGCACAGAATGTAAAGCATATGACAACGTTAGTACAGTAATATTTTGTAGGTACTATTGTACAATACAAATATTTATGGTGTATAAAGTCCTTCATAAAGTGGGCTGAACCCCGTGTTTCACTTCTGCTAGTATCTGCCATATTCTTCATTTTGGCTAGCCCAAACTACAAGTGGATACCAAAATTAACCTCCTTATCCCACCTCCACACTTCCTGTGCCTGGAATTCTCTTGATAAACTCCTACTCATGTTTCAATCCCAGATCAAATGGCCCCATTTCATGAAGCTCATCGTGCTTCTGCGAGCACTAGTTGCTCTCCTTTGCCACACAGCATCTTACGCTTTCTTTACTATAGCTGTAGTGAGGAGCCAAGTAGAGATTGTTCATTCTCCTGATTTGATTGTAAGCTGCTAAATGTCAAGAATATACTTCATTTATCTTTGCAATTCCATTGCCTAACACACAGTAAACCCTTTAGAAGCCTGTTGAGTAAAGTGTATGTATTTGAGAACAAACTAGTCAATTTGTAATAGATAGAAATTGAATATCAAATATATACTATTTTTAACAAATTAAAAGTGTGTAGTATTGGGAGGGTGTGGTTAGTGCTTATAATCCCAGCGTTCTGGGAAGCTGAAGCAGGAGGATCATTTGAGGTCAGGAGTTCGAGACCAGCCTGGGCAATATAGAAAAACCTCGTCTCCACCAAAAAATACAAAAATTAGCCAGGCATGGTAATGTGTGCCTGTAGTCCCCAGCTATTCAGGAAGCTGAAGCAGGAGAACCTCTTGAACCTGGGAGGCAGAGGTTGCAGTTAGCTGAGACTGTGCCACTGCACTGCAGCCTGGGAAATAGAGCAAGACTCTGTTTCAAAAAAAAAAAAAAAAAAGTGCAGAAAATTTTCAGCTCTTTTATTATAATATAATACAGTCATTTTCAAAGAAAAGACATCTAGCTCTTTAAATCTGCACACAAGTAAGGAAATCAGACTATCAGATTATGCCTCTGCAATATAATTTTAATTGACACTTGTCTTTCTAATGTAAATCCCTAGCCTCATCCAGTCTATAAGGCCCCTGAGAGCATCGTCCACGACACAGGACCCTGTATCCAGCAAACCAACTCAGTAACCCACAAAAATAAACACCAAAAATACATAATGATATTGCTTTTGATAATATACACATTGACTTTATTCTCTAATTAATAAAGTGGTCTCCCCTTATCTGCAAATGGGGAAGGCAAGAACCCCAGTAGATGCCTGAAAATAAGGATTGTACCAGACCCTAGGATAGTACCAGACCCTATGTTT